AACCCCAAAAAAAAAAAAAAAAAAAAAAAAAAAAGAAAGAAATCACTAGGCGATTAAGGTGGTGGTGAAGGATGGCAAGGATCACAGAACTACAGGCAATGAAGGCCGAGCAGGCAAAATAGAACAATTCTTCCTAGAAATTCGAAGCTTTACAGTTCTGATACCAAGTGGTAAAATGAGAATAATCCTTTTGTATATAATTTAGTCGGAAAACAGAGGCCTTTATAGGCTAGATACAAACCTAGGTCAACTAGCTAAAAAGGAAACAAATAAAATATTCCCAAAGAATTAGGAATCATAACTATTCCCATAAAATCAGGAAATAGAATATGTAGGATTTACATTACTTTACAACTAAATCATATGCATTATTTTCCACGATTTTGAAATTAGTACTTATATCTCTAATTTTAGCATACAGGATTAGTTTCTTTCATCAAATAGATAGAAAAATCCAAAAAGAGGAAGAAAAAGCCTTAAAAGGCATGGATGAAACCTGGAGTGGGGACCCCTTCTCCCTCCCCAAAGGATAAAAAGACTTTTGTCTTGCCTTTAAATTTCATAAATTATCATATTTATTTGTTGTGATTTCCAAGTTATCAGCCCCCTCATGTAAGGGTACATTTCAATTAAGTCTTTATTTATTTTTAGTACTTTTGTGATACTAAATTTTTATTTACACCATCTTTTGTGCATTAATTAAGGTGACATTTTATGTTTTCTCAGTAATAGTATCTTCATTTTAATTATTTTTTTGAGATTTCTTTCTTGTAAATTGAGTTTGGCATTCATCTTGAGATCCATTACTGTACCACCGGTTCATTCATCTTGAGATCCATTACTGTACCACCGGTTCTTTGTGCACCGATGAGTTAATAATGAAACCTTAACTATTCTACCTATACGATTGTGTTCTAGACCATCCTTTCGTTTTCAACGAATTGGTATTTTTACCATAAAGAAAGAGTGGAAATGTTTTTAAGACACTTCCAAGTGGCCGCCATTTGGTGCTTTTGACTTTTGATTTGTTTACTAGTTTCGTGCATTCATCACATTGGTGTTTGGACGGCCCACTTATACAGAAACATGGTATTGTAGAGTGCTTGACCACTTTGGTATAATTGCTTTTCTTTACATATACAAAATTTTTATGTGTGACATTGAGACTTGAATCCAGGATCTTTTACTATGTTGAACCACCTAATCCAAAAAGGTTAATCTGTCAGAAAGGGGATTTATTTAATATATATACTTTATTTTTGAAGCATTATTTGCTATTATCTACAACTGTAATATTGTAATGAAGTTTCCAATGTGCAAATAAGTGAACTTTCTTCATTTTGTGTTACGGTGCTGCCGTCGGAAGTAGATGAGTGAATTTTGTCTCCATAACATGTAGTTTATGGATGCAACGGATGATTTGAGCATCCTAAATTGAGCAGAAACTTCCTGAATACTTAGAGAGTGGTTTTTAGTACTGAACTTGTTTCTGTCCAAATAGCCTGCGGCACCTTTCGCCTATTTGTTTTCTTCTGCTTATGTGACTGATAGTAATCTAAAAGTGACAGTCATTAATCAAGTAGGTGGAATGAGACTTGCTTGAGATGAACTTTATTTGTTCTTCAGTTTTTCTCTGCCATTACATCCAAGACACCTTTCAGGTTGGCCATTTCTTGTATAGGAGTAAAGATATATTTTTGTTTATCTTATATTTCATTAGAAAGGCTATTATTTCTTGACATTTAATGCAAAAAGGGTTACACTGTCTTGTTTCTTGCACTCAGAATGTTGCTATGATAACAATTGTTTGTAATGGCCTCTAATCTGTCCAGGACCGATAATGCAATCAAGAATCACTGGAATAGTTCTTTGAAGAAGAAGTTTGATTTCTATTTGGCTACTGGGGATCTTCCACCCGTTTCTAAAAATGTTATGCAAACCGGCTGTAGGATTGTGAATAGAGCTTCAACTAGAGATCTTGTTTGCGCAAATAAAGGAACAAATTCAACCACCTTAGTTTCGTCAGGAGCTACAGATACATGTAAAATTGAAGATGGGAAGGATAAGCTAGAAACTACCACTAATGGATTTCATGATATAGCTGGATCAGCTACTAATCCCGGGAATGAGTCTGTGGATCTTCAAGGTGCTACATGTGAGCTAGTGCAATCAGTAGTTGATCCTATCCATTCAAGTACAGAATGCAAGTTCGATAGATATGGAACACATCGTGTAGTTGATCAATACTTGCACGATGATATTCCCTTATATGGGACACTTTATTATGAGCCACCACATACAGATTCTAATCTTCCAGATATTTCTCGGATGCACTCTGAATCAGACATTAGTCCTATAATGTCACCTGTGACTTTCTTCACTCCACCTAGCTCGGAAGGAGGAAATTTTTTTGCACAAACTCCAGAATCTATATTGAAAATCGCTGCCAAAAGCTTTCATAATACTCCATCCATATTGCGAAGAAGAAAGTCTGGTAGCCTGTTATCTGCACCAGCAAGTAAAAATTCCCGAGTAGATAGGGAAGCAGTTCAGGAAACATGTCAATCTACCAGCGAGTATAATCAAACAAAAATTTCAGAGGATATGGAGTCACAAGTAAGTTTGCATACAAATATTTCAGGCGAAGGTGATTTAGGATTATGTAATGGGAAGTCGTACAATTTATCCCCTCCATATCTGTTAAGATCGAAAAGGACTTCTGTTCTTAAGTCTGTCGAGAAGCAGCTTGACTTCGCATTTGCAATGGAGCAGGAGTGTTGTAATGAAAATACTGAGTCTGAGGATTCAACAGTTAAAGAAATCCCTCCTGTAACAAAGTTTGTCTATACACGTCAAAGACGGTTGAGTTAGAACGGCAATGTAAGTATTGTCCCGAGTTCAGCACAGCTAACTGATTTTTTGCTTTTCCATATAACAATATTGACATTTTCAATCAACAATAATGCTGTTGTTTCATTACTTGAGATATGAACTGTACAATCCTTATTTGTTCCATTTATTTTTTTTGTTTGTGTGTGATCAGCTAACGTGGAAATTGACCTGAACTGACTAGAAGTGAGGAATGGATGCGTAAAGATATAGCGCCAGATGTATAAAATCTCATTCTTGAAGATAAACTCGAGGTTTATGTTTGGCATGTCATCTCTTTTTCCACCTTAGGCTCGTGGAAAAAGCACTGGCCTCGCTTGGTTTGATCATTGCAGGTGATGAGTAAATGGCTATATGGAGAATATGTCTCACCGATTCTTTTGATTTATGTAACATGATTCAAGCTTCAATTGATTTGTACAGTACTCCCCCCCCCCAAAATAAATGGAAGTAGGAAAACATACACATGCAAAAAATCATAGTTTTTGAAATAACACCTTCTTCTTTCAAAGCTAAAATTTGCTGAAAGTATCATGGTATGTATTGCATTCTCTTATTGTACTTCTGCTACTGTTGATCCAAGTACAAATTCATATACAGCAGACGTCCAGGTTTACGGTGCCTTCCGTGTGTATGTTGCTCGAACAAGGGGTTTTTCCAAATGTATAGAGTTGTGGCTCTATCCGTTTACATGTTGCCCCCCTTCGGCCACGTTGATCCTGTCCATGTAGCATGGTTCCCGAACAAATGTTATTTGGATGGGATAATTTTATTTGTACACAATTATTTGTCCAGATGCAATGTTGGTAAAAAATGAGTGGGTGCAAAAATTAGCTTTTTTTTTTTTTTTTTTAATTGTCTAATAACAAAATGCCATGTAACATTCTAATAACAAAAATTTTCTTTCCTTTTTTTTTTTAATCGTCCAATAACAAAATGCTGTGTAACATTCTACCAAGAACGTCGGCAAAATATTTTGTACATCATGCACGATTGGCTTGGGCGTTCATGTAGTCACCAACGTTAGATTTCATAGTTATTCTGAGTAATGGAAGAACGCGTTACAAAAAAGTTTCCAATTCTAGAGGGAGTGGAAGAGAACGTAAGAATCACAAAAAATGTTTCAAGCTCCTAAGGTTGTATATTTTCATTCTGTGGGCATCAACTATAACATCAACAAAATCATAAGTGCAGTCAAATAGTTCTATCTACATCTCAAGTTTGGGAGAAATGAGGCCTTTTCTAATGATTTTTTCTGTTGAAATTTTATGAGGTCCATGTTAATATGCAAACGAACCGTCCCAAGATGAGATAAGTCGAACCCGAAAAGTTGATCTGCCAAATTCAAGTAGTTCAACTAAATCTGCAGTTAAGAGCACGTTTTGCTAGCATAAAAGTATCTTTAAACCAGGCTGGAATTTGTCAATTTTTGCAAAACAAGCCAAGCTCTGGTGAACCTAGAAGTCACTTCGTGGAATTGTCATTGAAATGTAGTGCATAAAATGAAAGATTCTCCATATCTCATTATCTTAATAAATATAGCCTGCTATCCAGTAACAAATCACTATCTCAATCAATGCTTTTCTCAAGCTTGCATAAAGTTCCTACTCGTACTACTACTCCGCTAAAGGACTTCACTTTTCAGTCCTCCATAGAAATGCATTACAAGATTCGCATGAATACGAATTAACATTATATTCTACCGCCCTCGAGCTTCACACGTTGCACAGACCACCAAGAGGCCACCAAGAAAGCATATCCTCAAATTGCTAGGACATGCGCTTCTATCCTATAACGATCCACAAGACAGAAAATAAGGAAAAAGTATTTCATAAAGTTAACGAGCCATGTAGCTGGTCATGATGCTGTCTACATCATAATTCTCCGGAAGTACGACCATCCAAATGTGGTAAAACAAGAACTGGACAAATTTTTACAGCTTCTACATTGAACTATACATGAGCAATAGGTAAGAAGAAATCAGCTGCTCACCAAAGAACCAATTCCATTAAGCACCACAAAGCCAATCCATATGACCTGAGCAGAGAATCACGAGATAAAGATACAAACAAAACAAGGGACAAACTCAAAAGTAAGAGGGATTGAAGAGAAGCACCATATACAAAACTAATCTTTGGGTGCTTTACTGAGGTTCTATATTAGTTATCTAAAGCAAATAAACACTCTTAATCCATTTTCAAGAAAAAACTATGAACATAAATTTAAAATACATGACAGAAGGCAATGATTAATCAGGTACTGAGACAGGCGTAAGCCTCGAGGGGCTTTGAGGTGTAAGCCTCGAGATAAAACAATAAAAGAATATCAAAGTACTAATATATGCTCGTCATATACCATGGGAATCCTTTCAAAAAATCCATAGTAACACTAATTAACAAAACTAGAAGTCTACAATACGGACAAACATAGAATAGATCAAGAAAATAGAAAATAATAAGATCTACAATTAGTAATCACGTAAACTCAAAAGGTTTCTTGTATCATCACTACTAATATGATATTATTATAAATTTCTTTTCATTCTTTGTCATCATCCTCCAACTGCAATGGTGTATTCTCCTTCCCATTTTCCTTCGGTGTAGGGGATAAAATGAAAATAAAAGAAATGAAAACATTTTAAGTTATAAAAAATTAACTCAAAAAGCTAATGCCAAAAATTAATGTTTGAAAAATGCAAGGCAAACGGGTGAACACCTTAGTTGCTTGAGGCTTAAGCCTCAAAAATGGCTTTAAAGGTACAGGTTTTGAGGCGTTTTATAATTGCCTCAAATGGACATATCTGTCTCGTGTGATGTCTAAGTTGTAACATGGGAACTGATGTCTCATGTGTAAGAACTAGTATTAGTGAAACTTAAGCTACACAGCTAAATCAACATCCAATATACTCAACAACACACCCAAAAACAACCACAACCACAGAAACAAATAGAAAAATATCCTCAACGAGACTGTACATTTAGGTGATCCAGAAGTTGATTATATGGACAATAGCATATTTCTTCCCATTTGAACCAAGATATGAAGTGCTATACTACCTGCAGCATAGGTCACCTCAATCAAAATACAAGCAGAAACTATGTAGAGAAAAATTACCAAGAAAAGAAAAAACAGTGGCTAAATCCAAGAATAAAAGCAGACCTCATTCAATCTTTTCTATTACACATCTTGAAGCTAGAACATGAAAAAAGCACCAGTTGTAGTTTGCCGAAGCACCTTTGAACTTCGATCAAGCCCATGAGAAGCCACCTAAAAGGCAAAATCACAAGTTACAAGCATGAAAAACAAACATATTAACCAACCGTTCTACCCAAAAACCAAAAATTGAAGATCAAAAATACCAGTGAGACTCCTGGACGAATTATTAGGCTGATTCTTTTTGCCACTCAAAAACATAACTTTCGGACTGAATAGTAGTACCATTCTTTCGATATTTAAAATTAGCCAGCTGATGAAGAGATTATTGAAGGGATATGACTGTCCTACCCATGACTATCATGATTCAGATACCATTTGTTTATCAACAGTTTCTCCAAAAGATGTCTTTCTAGTAGTAGTTAACCTTAAATACCTAATTGCTAGAAAATGAAACAATATGCCAAGTTGTANAGTTTCTCCAAAAGATGTCTTTCTAGTAGTAGTTAACCTTAAATACCTAATTGCTAGAAAATGAAACAATATGCCAAGTTGTAAAAAACTAATAATGAGGTAAAGATCGGTTTAGCTACAAAGAAAAGAAACGCGAGTTTAAATGTATATTTTGAGAAAGAGCTGAATTGAGAATTCAGAAGTTGTCAGGTATTTCATTATATATATTGTGAAATTTGAGAGAATTCATATATTTATTGGACCCTAAACAATTTTAAAAAAAAGTTAATAATTTTATGCATTTAGCGAGGTTACTAATTTATCATTCATTCATTTATAGAGGTTTCAACACACAACTGGCATAAGAAAGTCGATCAATAAAGACAAACATTTCCATTTTTACCATATGAGTCAATGCCGCGTAACGTTCTTCGTTCAGATACAGAGGTTTTCCCCTACGCATTTCAACATCCTGCAAACAGTTTGGAGAAACGTGTTCATGAAAGATGCATGTTGTTAACTGGTTGTAGAATTGCTTGTCAACTTCCACAAAGATGAGGGAAATCGCAGTTTGCTTTGTAGCAAATGCAGCTTGCTTGCTCAAAAACAAACAGGACACAGATAATTTGACAAGAACAATAAATACAAGTCAAATATATTGATGCACCTAGTATTTCCTCTATTCACCTAGTCAAACATATTTAAGCATTTTCATAGACTAAATATACCAAATAATATTCATGTTATACCATTATCAAAAAAATAAAAAAATTCCTAGACAGATAATCCAAGAATATCTTTCAATGCACCTGATTCTATCCTTTTTCACGAATAAGTGGATAGAAAATTAAGATCACTACCAAATATGGTATACATCAAGCACTAGACCTGATCAAGAGGAGCATTTTTAGTATAGATTCCATGGATCAACTATTTTTCAACCAGCCATCATCCTATATTTACATAAGAATGCAGCTTAGAGTAACATGTCATTAGTAGTTTTCAATCTTATGCCCTGAGATAACAAATGTAAGATTTTAGAGGCTTCTCCCCCTCCTCAAAGAAACTAGACAAAAGCAAATCACATTTTCTAAGAACAGCATTTTAAAAGAAACAGTAAATTTAGGGCCACCCAGTTTGCTTAAGATTTTCGTGCCTTGTGTATTTAATCATTTTAGTTTTCAACATACTTCAAATTTGGACTGTTCAGCCAGATAAATTTTGAGTTCAGTAAATGTTTATCAGAACCCATAAATCTTTTGAATAGATGCTCAGCTAAGTTGAGTAAAGATATTATCTGATTACTTTTAAAAAAATAAAAAATAAATAAAGGGTTCAGTAAAGATATTTTTGAAGCCAAAAGAATTGTGAACAAGCCAAGCTTCAATCACCATTGGCTGGAGCACACTTCTACACATATGGACCATTTTTTACTACTACATTAAATGGAGTTCATGAACAAATAAAAAGAGACCACTGAAGTACAAGACAAGGTTCCTGAATAACCAAAACTCACCTCTTCACCAAATGCATCCAAGTAGGGGGATGGCCAGGGAGACTGACGTGCAGATCTTTGCAGCAAGATTGTGGTTCTCTGTAACACATATTGTGAGACTATTCAATTTTTCGTGAAGAAATATAATCACATGCAAAAGAAGAACATGAACAAAATTTATTATCATTTATATATTATATAGATATCCTCCAAAATGCATGTTGCAGGTGTAAAACATACTCTAATCAACAGGAACACTCCAATGCCAGCCCCGCAAGACTTTGCATGAGTTTGACAACTGCTTTCCCTTGAGAAAAAATAAGCGGAGTCAATTACACAAACAACAATAGAAGCATAAACACTTACACACACAAACCAAAAAAAAAAAAATGGAAGAAGAAGAAGAACCCAAAGGATAAAGAAAAAGAACAGATAGCACCTTACATGAACAAGAATCCATAACGAAACACAACAAAAATTGGCATTACCTGCAGCAATTCTTCCAGTTTGCTGAGCACAATTTGCCACATAGCAAGCATAATGCAGGCTCCTCCTGAACATCTCCACAGTCTGGGCAACGCTTTTTTATATACCTGATATTTAACAAACTTCCCACATGATTGATGGGTTCACACAATAATGAGAAGTAAACTAATACTACAACCATTCAAAAGTTCACCTTTGCAAGAGATCCTGGTAAAGATGAGGCAAAAGCATCAACTTAAAAGGAACTGCGGGATTACATTTCAACACATACTGAGAGTTACGAACTCCACACACTTCAGAAAAATGACACAGCCATCTAAAAGCTGTGATCCGTGACTTTTTATCATTAATAACAATGCCAAGTGGAGGAATATTAAACATCTTCTCCAGCTTCTCAACCTCGGAAAGCTCTTCTACAATGTTTGTAACACACTCTGAATCATCATCTGCATATGGAGATCCATCAAATGTGCAAGCCCCATCAGTGAATGGTACTTTGGTGGAATGATTTATTAGTTTCCACAATAATGCACATCTCCGCAAATAAGGAAAGCTCAGGCTGCGAATTGCATCTTTCATATCATAAGTAGGATTGATATAGTTTGAATCAAAGCTTTGTAGAGCTTCTCCATGTTCCTCCATAAATTTGAAGATGTCAGTGATCAAACAATCATGAAATCCCAACTCACTAATAGTGCATAGTCGTTTGCTGCAATATATAATTATTGCCTGTTGCATTAAAAAAAAAGAAGAAGAAAAAAAAAAATATTATATAGCAAGTCACGTAGAGAGTTAATAATTCAATCTTTTCAAGGTCAAAGAAGGCAAATTCTTTCTACCTGAGTTACCGTAACAACATAACAAACATGCACAAGATACAAATAGGAATCTTTGCATGACAAAAATGGACATGGAAGACAGAAGAGTATCCACATTAATGTCGAAAAGGCATCATGTGCAAGGACAGGATCAGAAGCGCGTCTCCATAACTGAACATCCGGATACCGTACTTCTGCCTCAGCATTCTCCAATATACAAAGCAAATGACCTACAAAAAATATTATAAAGCTATTTTTCAACTTTGAACAACTGTAGTTATAAAAGGAAAAAATCATATCTAAACTCATATAGATACTATGATTCAGCTACACTCCAGGTCAAATTTTCTCCAATTGTAATCATCCACTCGTCATTAATATGGACATGGGCCCATCATATGCAAGTGGGTTTCATGTGATTGTAGGATAGGTGATCACACTGGAAGGGATTGGGAAGAATTCTTACTTCAAGTACCAAATGACCCAGATACATTTATGTTGCTAAATCGACCATTGAAGGAAAGTATTTACTACCTTATGGAACCTTTTCAACGTTTTACTTATAATGGTATTTTCATACAACAAAGTGCCCATAATTCCCTTTTTTGCTTCCCAAAAATAGATAATTGGTAACAGAATTAGAGGTCTTGATTGAGTAAAAAACATACATGTAACCAACATAAATAAAGACAATAATTGTTGTATTTTAATAATATTATCTACACCTCCTACATCAAATTGATTGAAACTCTATTGCAGATTGTTAACAGTAATGACCACTTTATTTCCCCTACAAGCTC